ATATATTATCTATACTTATATAATTAAAATTATAAATAAATATATTATATAAGAATAATATAAAATAATAACTAAAAATGTTGAAAAAATATTTTTTTTTATAATACAAGTAATAAATTATTTATCTACCAAATCTAATCTTAAAAAAAAAAAAAACATAATTTATATGTCATCACATAGAGTAGTACACTTTATATGTCAACACACTGCACTTTATAAAAACAAAACGTTGCACTTTATAAAACAATACACTGCACACTATCAACATATTATTTTTTATATATTTTTTTATACACATATATATTATATTATTATTGAAATACACATAAAAAAATTCTCTGGTCTATTATAAAATTGAAACGCACATAAAAAATTATCCTGATCTATTATAAAAATAAATGCACATAAAAAATACCCCAATCAATAGATTGTATGATAATATCAAAATAGTATTATTTCAATTAGTTGGGTTAATTTGATATACAATTATATTCACTAAATATAGTTTTAACAAAACAAATAATTTATATGTGATCATATAAAATAGTGCACTGTATATATCATAACACTGCACTTTATAAAACAACATATTGCACTTTACAAATAATAAGTTGCACTTTATCACCATACTCCACAGTTAACGTCAACAGGTCCGGTAAAAAAACCACACAACATAAATCTGAAAAACGGATATACATAATACTTTAACATCAATCACATCAGTTATCCACACAAAATATAATCATGGTAACGTAACAAAATTATAGTAGTGCACTTTATACATCAACACATTACACTTTATAATACAACATGTTGCACCTTATAATACAGCACGTTGCACTTTACAGAACAACACGCTACACATTGTCACGACTATCATATTGTACAAAAGTGATCGAAACAGACCGTACACAATTTTTTTTTCAACCATAAACTATATAAAAATAATAAACAAAAATATTAACATATTAAATATATTTTTCATATGAAATAGCGAAAACCGACTGATATTAACTTTCATTCGATTTTTTTTTTATTTATGTTCGATTATCTGTTTTTCATTTTAAAAATTCGGTTTGGTTAGATATCGTCTTTATTTTACAAAAAATAACTTAAAAACCGACAAAATTATATAATTTATATATATAATATTTATTTTTTCATCCGAGTATAATATATTAAAATTACTAATTTATTTTTATAATATAAATAATAAATTATTACGATTATTTAAGTTAATTCAGTTGATTGCACAAATAAATCGATTATTTCCATTTAGTTTTAGTATGATTCGAAGTCAAATTATTAAAAAAAGTATGATTTAATAAATGTATTATAATTGCACAATAGTGTTAGACAAATTGCACATTTCTGACTAACAGAATGCACCATAACGAATGAAACGACAAAAAACAAAAAAGAAACAAAAAATAATATTAGTTTTTATATATTTTTATGTATTGCGATTGCACATTATGGTTATTCGAATTGAACAATAATGACTATCAGATTGCACATTATCGAACAAAATGGACCGAACTAAAAATTTTGGTTCGAAATCTTATATTTGGTTTGATTTATTTTTTTTTCATTTTACTTTAAAAAACTCGGTTATTCCGGTTCAATGCCAACTAGTTTTTTTTTAATTGTAAAAAACCGAGGCCTAATTATATAAAATATATTATAATTATTATTAATATAATTATTATTTAGTTATTTAATTTTATGTAAAAATAACATTAATATCCATCCAAAAACATAATAACTCTCATCTTCATAACGTAGCTAATGAAGATCAAGCATGTCAAGTGGATGTTAAAAATTGAGAAACTTAAATTCAATTAAAATCAATCCAATGAAGAACAGGCTCTAGAATTGTGTGCAGTACTACAATCTATATATCTATCTAGATATCTCGTGGTCCACAATCTCTACCATCATCAATAATGCCAGCAACAATAAATAATACACTAAATTGTAATATAATAAAACTTATAAAATTGCAAATTGGTCCTTATGTCTTATCAAATTCTCAAAAGCATGCCCTAGCTCTATCTCCCCCACTGCAACATCTCCGACCAAAATCACAGTGATGGTCGCCGCCGACGGGCCTTCGACGTGCGATGCCTACCTCGGGGAGCCCCAATTTCACGCACATGACAAATCAAAAGTTTGAATTGCATAAAGAAGGCCCAGATTTCATATGAAATTTCAGCAAAAAATCAGTGGGGACGGCGAGGAATGAGCGACGCGACGGAGGATATGGATAACACGGTTGATTTGGTGGGCGGCAGAGCCGTGGCTGAGTACGGAGGAGAGTGCACGTTTGGTGGACAACGACGGAGACGGCGGTTTGGTGGTCGTCCGACGGCTGTGCTGATGTGCGAGGCGGATTAGGGGATGACGGTGGCCAATGATAAAGTGACGGGTGACGGCGGCCGGCGCCAGATGAGGAAGGTGAATGTCGAGCTCCTCTCCGTGCATCTGTGCGAGTTTTTTTATGTGTGTGAGTGTGTGTTTGGTGCGTGTGTGGAGGGTAGGAGAGAGAATGAGTTGTTTTGTTAGTGGTGGGACCCACTAAGTGGGTGGATGGAGAAATTACAGAACTGCCCTTAATGATATAGATCTGACCACAAGATTCTATTTATTGACAGTTTTTCCACTGTGTGTTTGACCAGGTTATTCAATTTTGACTTCATTTTGCCCATTGATATCATGAATCTAATGGTGTAGGATCATTCTTATTTCTTTCACTATCACTTTCTCATATGATCCCTTCTCTCTCTATATATATAGGGTTGGGATCCGGTGAGAATGACTCTTAATGCGAGAAATAAGAATAAATTTTAGCTATCGGATTGGTTGATCCAATCCGCCGCTGAGTACCGCCGCCTTCTGCCGCCTGCCGTCGAGTGCCGCTATCTTCCGCTCGCTGTCAAGCCTCGCCGGACCACTGACGCATACACCTACCTCCGTCAGACTCGCTTGAAGTTGCAGACAGTCGCGACCACCGCACGCCTTGTCCCGTCGCCGCCACGGCAAGAGCCACCACTTCGTCGGCGCGCGGAGACATGAACTGCAATTATCGACGGGGAAGGAGGTCGCCGGTTGTGAGGAGAATGGTGAAATTGTCGCCGGTCTGAGAGGCAAAGACGTTGGCGGCGGTCGGAAGAGACGACAGCGACGGTCGAAAAAGACGGCGGCAGCGGCCGGAAGGGATGGTCGAGTGTATGGGCTGAGCGTGGAAAGATTTGCAGATTTTGTGGGCTCACATTTGAAAATTTGACAAAGCATAGGGTCTTAATTGCAATTTTGAACTCTTTTAATATATTACAAAATAATTTATGGGTCAAATGTATAATTAATCAAACTACAAATAATATTTCAATAGGGTCAAATGTATAATTAATCAAACTACAAATAATATTTCAATATTGTTAATTAATATGTAAAATTCCATAAAATAATATGATAAATGTGTAATATTAAAATAATAAATATAATTTTATAATAATAAATAATATTTTATTTAAATTATTTAGGTTAATTCGATGTTCAATTACGTATACTAATTCTAGGTTTCAAAAACACATAATTTATACGTCATCGTAAAATTAGTGCACATTTTATATCATCATATTACACTTTATAATACAACACGTTGCACATTAAAAAACAATACGTTGCACTTTATGATGGTGACGGCCGATGGTATTTTTTAATTTAGCTCATGACAAAATATGTAATTTATAGCAATATTCTCATAAATGCATATTATTTATAAATAAAGTGAATAATGTTTAAAAATTTTAATATGTAACATTTTAATACATAAAAATATTAAAATAATGAATATAATTTTATAATAATAAATATTAATTTATTTAAATTATTTAGGTGATGTTCAATTATGTCTACTAATTCTATGTTTCAAAAACACATAATTTATGCGTGATCATATAATTAGTGCACTTTGTATATCATCAGATTGCACTTTATAAAACAACACATTACACATTAAAAAATAATACGTTGCACTTTATAATTACACTCCACATTTTATCATCAGTTCATTTTACACATCACTATGTCGCACTTTATCAAAAATCGAGCTGCACTTTACAGAACAACACGTTGCACTTTAACCGCTATTAGATTGCACAATATAAATCAGGACCGACCGAACTCGATTTTTTCAGCCTGAAATAATATAGAAAATAATAAATAAGATTATTAACGTATTAAATACAATCTTGACATAAATAAAAAATATTTTAATTATTTTAGATAATTCGATTACTCGAACCGAATATATCAGTTAATTATGTTCATTTTCAATTTGACATTTGACTTGGGATAATCATTCAAGTGGTCCAGTATGCACAATACAGACCAACACCTTGCACTATAGTGTTGTACGAATTGCACTTTATAACTGTTAGATTGCATATTATATTTTATGTACGTTTATACTAATTTTTTTAATCAATAATATAAAATTATTAATTGAAAAAGTATAAAATGCTAATAATAATATTTAAAAAATTTTAAATTAAATAATCATACATATATTGTTAAAATTTTTTATCAACATTCTATATCTAACATATTTTTATTAAATAATTTTAGTAAAATATATAATTAAACACCAATTGTATTCTCAACAATTACTCAAATAAACAAGCATCAACTCACTCTTTTAATTACAAATTTTTAAAATTGCAAATTAGCCTCTATAATTTATCTAATTTACATAAAAAAAACTCCACAATTCACATGGATGAAATAGATCCTCAATCATGAACATTTTTTTCCTTCCCGGCCGTCCATCTACTTCAGCGCACACGCAGCCGTCGCCGGACCGCCATCGCCGTCGGGTCACGCCGCAGTTCGCCGCTTCATAGCATCGTCTTCCTCCTCCGCCGGCTCTCCGCCTCATCTATGTCAGTCGGTTCGATGCCTCGTCTCCGTCCACAAGCACATATTTTCGTCTCCGTTCGTCAACGCGCCGCAACGCCGTCGTCCACCGCAGTCCACCGCCGCGTCGCTTCAGTTCCGTCGGCCGCCGACCAAAGGAGGAAGACGCCTCTGATCTCCTGTGCGTGCGTCATGAGAGTTGGTGGTGTGTGTGGGATCTTCACGCCGGCGAGAAATAGTGAACGATGGAGAAGAGAAATAGAGATGGTAGGTGGGGAAGAGAGAGAAATGGCAGATCGGGAGAAAATATAAAGATGAGAGATAATGATGGGTTGGGATGGTTGTGGAGCCCACTACAAGATTTGTGTTCACACAATTACGCCTATGCCCTCAGACATATGTAATTTACCTTCATGTTTTATGCCACTGTTTAATTTCTGGTCAACACATGGGACACATCCTGATCGTTAATTTGACAGATCTTGTGGTGTATATGTATTCTCATTTCTTTCACTATATCCCTTTCTCATATGATCCCTTCTCTCTCTATCTCTCTCTCTCTCTCTCTCTCTCTCTATATATATATATATATATATATATATATATAATTGAGAATATAAAATGTCCAATTCCATTGCAGTTTTAAATTTTGTTTGTATAAAAAAAATAAAAAAATATATGTACTATCCATAATTACAATGACATCTCATTTTTTAATCGGTGATTTTAAAAAAACTACTGAAAGGAAAAAAAATACACTCAACAAAATCGTTGTCATAAAAGAATAGATTATGATATCATTAAAATGGTTTGATTTTAAATAAATTCAAAGTACACAACACAAAGTTCAAGAATATCCCCTATATATATAATTCACGAATGTGGTGAGCCTAAGTGGCACACTCGAATGCTTCGAGATCCTAGGTGTCAAAATTCCATGCTTCATTATTTGGCTTGGATAGATTTTTAATTTAATTCCAATTCAAAAATAATTAAGTCCGGATTACCATAAATATGTTGATTATTTATGATCATTTTAGATGTATTAATTGTATTTTAATATTATTTTCTATTAACTATTAAATTGTAAATTTTTATATATATATATAAAGAGGAGCAACAAAGCATTAAATTATATTATCATGCATTAAATATTATTATCCCTCCAAAATTTTCAACATTCAATTTCATTTTTAAGTTACAAAATAACTTGTTCGAATGTCATAAATTATGAGCATAAATCAATCAACGGAGTTACAAAATTGAACTCAAATTTTAAGTCACACTCTCTCATGAAAATGGCCGGATGTACTAGCATAAAGTAAATGGTTGTAACGGCTCTTCCATTGATCAAAATCAATTCTGAGAATCATTTTCTTAATTCATATTTTTTTTTTCATGAATTAAATTATGATTTATTTTTGTTTTTTTTATATTGTTATCTTTTTTAAGTATTCTTCTCTGTTAAAATGCACAGGTTGATTACTATATATATACATATATATATATGTATATAATTTGGAGTAACAAAGCATTAAATTATATTATCTTTCATTTAATTATATTATCACACCTAAATTTTCATCATTTAATTATATTACTTTATGTTCCCGCCTAAAGCAGTTACATATATTATAATATTAATATGTTTTTTGCTAATTTTCTTACATCACCTAATCAGTCTATTAGTTGCATGAATGTTCTAGCTAAAATCGTGCATTTATATCTATACTTGTTTTTTTTTCTTTTCCTCTAATAATTTTGAAAAATGAGATCTTGGATATTTTTTACACAGAAAAAACGCGTGATCCGCCGATAACAAGAGAGAAATGAGCTTGAATCATGGAGTGTTTGGATTATTTAGGTCGAGGGTTTTGTAGCGCTTTTTTTGGTAACCGGTTACCTGATTCTTTTTTTTTTTTGTTCAAAACAATGTGTATTGGGTTTAATTTGAAATATTAATTTATTTGGGCTTTACTAAATCAGACTCATTAAACAAATAGGCTTACTGAGAATATCGACCCAAGTCACCCTTACAAGTTTTTTAATAAAAAATTAAGCCGAATTCACCACATTTTTTTAATATGTTATTCATCCCAATTCAACAACTATTTACAATGCAATTATTTGTCCAGTAGATAATTTTGACCCAAATGTTTAATAATGAAAGTGTTTAATAATATTTACAATTATTTTTTAATGCATATTTTTTTTTCATGAATTAAATTATGATTATTATTTTTTACTTTTTCTTTTTATATTGTTGTTTTTTTAAGTATTCTCTCTGTGCAAATGCACAGGTTAATCACTAGTGTATTTTAAAAGTTGATAACTTTTGTATTTCTTATCGGTTTTACATATATAATATATTAAATTAATCATCTTTTGATGAACTTCGATTTGACATCCAAATTGTATGTATAAAATAAATAAATTATATTTATGTTTATAATAATAATAAATTATATATTAATATTATTTAAAGAAATAAAATTATTTCTCAATTAATATATTAATGTTTAAAGTAGTTATATGTTATAAGTTAGAAATTATGATAATATAATACAGATATGTCCCACAAGTAACAAGTGCCATTTGAAAATATATAATAATATATATTGTTTTATAAAAGGTATTTAAATTTTAAATCATTTTTTTTCATTAATTTTAAGTTTTAAGGAAAAAAATTTAACACGCACCCGTGTAATACGCGGGTGTTGTACTAGTTTTATTTATAACAAAAACCGAGAATATGACATGATAAACAACAACCGAGATTATGCTAATGCATTTAATGCTTCTTATTATTTTTAGAAAAATGGTACAAGTACATAATTAATGTACATAGAGATGTAACATAACACTCACATGGAGTGGGGTCCACTTAAACTTTTATTTTTGGTAGTTCCCACTCAATGTAATTATTATGTACACCTCTATGCATAATATTATGTACCTATAGCATTTTTTTTTATTTGAAAACACTTAAAAAAATAAAACTTACATTTTTTAGTATGTAAGTAATGATTTTGATGGGAAATTATTCTAAAAATGATTTAATCTTATTCTTATTTTATATAGATAGATATCTATACTTATATAAAGGGGGATCCTATTTACTACATTTAGTATCCAGAAAAGTCAATTGCATTAAATGCCATTACTATTTCGATATTAATATTTTATTTAACTGATTTATTTATCTATATATATAATAAGAATTACCATTTTTAAAAAATGGCAGGTCAACTATATGGTCAAATTCTCTCATCATTAATTACTTTCCATTAATTACAATTTATTTATTTATTATTTTCTTAGCAAAAACAGACCAACATTAATTGATTTTCTTAAAATGTGGAAGTTGTTGCTTTATTTTTGAACAGAAAATTGGGCTTCATTATAGAAATTTGTTCAATTACACAATGAATTTGCTATGATATAATTATTTTTCATGGGAACTTTTTTTCTTTTAACAGAAAAATATGACATTTCAATAAGATTTTCGATTTTTTAAGACTGATTGTTATCATGCTTTGAACTTGAACATTCCAATATACATTAACAAAATTACATACATATATATGTATGTAATTTTTCTATTTCCAAATTTAATTGATAGTTGTTGTGTTATGAGTTTTTCATAATTGTTACTTGGTTGTTGTGATATTTAGTTTGGTTGGTGTCGCAAAAATTCTAATCTATATATATAATAAGAATAATCATTATAATGCAAATTAGAAAAATATTAATATTAGAAGAGATTGAGTTCATGGCTTTTCTTAAATCAAAGTTGTTTAATTAGTATACAAAATTAAATTCTAAAAAAATATATGTGTATATTTTGTACATTATTTATACACTATTTAATTTTAAATTTATTTACATATTTTAAATTGATTACTTATATAAATAATACCAACGTGCATTAAATATATTTCATTACATAAAATAAATAGAACAAGAAGACGTGCAACTTCTATAACTTTATAAATAATAATTACATTACATGACAACAGAGTTTATAGTAAAATAATAATTAACTATTATATAGTGAAAAAGAGTAAGTAAAATTGTTATTTTCTCTTATATCAAGGAATAAATATATATAATAAAATTAAATTTATAAATATGTTAGTGAGGTAATAAATTAATTATTTTACAAGTTAGCCTTAACATGCTCACGTTTAATGTTCTGACTAATAAAACGACGCTGATTAAAAGATATGAAAAATAGATTACAACCCTATTGTTTTAGACTTAATGGTGCTTAAAAGAGGTGGAAAATGGATGATAACCCTTTTCAGACTTAAATGAGACTTAACGGTGATTAAAAGAGGTGGAAAATGGATGATAACTCTTTCAAACTTAAACGGACAGAGCCTGTGAAAGTAATTCATTTAATATCTCTCTCCCGTGCATCGCACGGGGTACGTACTAGTATCAATAATATTACAAACTAAATAATCAACACTGTTAAATAAAACAATTATCAAACTAAATAATCAACACTGTTAAATAAAACAATTATCTTTCATTTAGTTGATTTGTCTAACAGAAAATAATAAAAAAAATGAGATTAAAAAGACGAGAACCAATGTTTTAAATACCGTACCGGTGACCATACCGGACGAGCCACTGGTACGCGGTTCAACCGGTAAAACCGTCTAATTTACCGGTTTTAATAAATATTAAATTAATCTATTATTGTAATATAAATAATATATAAAACTAACTATAATAAATTCTAAAATTATCTAAAGTCAAATAACAATGTAAATATATTAAAATTTAAGTGTAGAACTTTCTATTTATATAAATAAATAAATAAAAATATGTTATAAGAATATTTTTTTTCTAAAATCCAATATGCTCGGTATTTTGGCCGGTAAAACCGGTATTTTCCGGTATGAAGTCGGTATATACCGGTATTTTTGCCAAAACAGTATTTTGGAGGTAATTATACCGGTTGGACCACAGGTATCCGATATTACCTGTAATACCGGCCGATACATACTGTTATTTAAAACACTGACGAGAACCATTTCCAATAACATTTTTCATTTTATCTCACACCAATAAGAAGTCAACAATGTGACACATTCAATTTATGTCATAGGCATGTAAAAATAAGAATGGGATACCACAGATTTCCAATATGATACGTCAGCATATAATCATCTATTTCTCGACAAGCCGAAGGCTACAAGTACAACAGAGCCATTTTATTGCGTAGTGTAAAGTCTGCCATATGTATCTCAGGTTTTTATCTCTGCTGTGAATACCGTTTACCAGTCAAGTCTGATATTTATCTTCCTTTCTTGGCGAAAAAGATAGTTGAGAAAGAAGATTGAACGCGCGCACATTTATTATAAGCATCTATATATAAACTCATTATCTTAATCCCCAAATGCTCTCATATTTCACCAATCTTCCATTCACACACTTACTCCTAGGATTTTTCTCTGGTTTCCTTTAATCAATTTCAGTACTCGATGCATTTGCATAACGCATGGCTGCCGCCGCCCGTGGCGGAGGAGACGAAAAGGGAGAAGCATGCCTTCGCCGGAGTAGTTAATTCCGTCAAGGAGTCTTACAATCCAGAAGATCCTGAATCGGTTTACTCTACTCTGAAATGGGTCTCTGTTATTGATCTGTTGAGTTTTCTTCCCGAAGCTCTTTGATATTTTTTTTTTCCTCGTAGTCTTATTTGATGCTGGGACTGAATTAATTTTGTTGTTCAATTTTGCTTTGTAATCAATTGAAAGTCGAGTTTTTCATACACTAGTCAATTTTCATCGAATTTTGTAGGATCGCTACCTTTTATTATCATTTTCTTTTTTCTTTATTACTTCACATCCTTCCTTTGTCATAACTTTCTAGAATAATTCGAATGGAAATTTTATTTGAAGTAGAACGAGACTACACTTGGGCATATAAGATAAGTGGGACAGTCATCCAACTTCAATGTTTAGTGCAGAGAGCAGCACAATTGATGAAAGTACTGAAGAAGAAAGTTCCTTCCTCCCTCTATAAGTGTGTGTGTGTGTGTGTGTTCATGTTGTGCGCGAAGAGACAAATAAATCCAAGGAAGATTCTTAACTTCTGGTGAATGGTTGAAAATCGGTGGATGATTGTTGTATGGAAGGGATTCCGGTGGCTAGGGGTAAATAAGAAAATCCAAAAGGAAGTGATAAAAGTTGGCAGAAAGTTGGTTATGGTTCAGACCCATGGTGACTAGGAATTACAACGGACTGGGAGATAACTGACATTCCCAGAGATGGTCTTTCTAGTTCTTTTATGTAAAACTTGCATGGACTTTTCATTCTTCTAAGTTAGGAAACACAGGGAATGTAAAGAAAGAAGAGTCCAGTCCAAAAAGAAATTGAGATTAGTTATGCAATTGATGTCAACATGGGGAAACGGAGCCAATTGCCAACATAAGGGTACTTGTGTTTTTAATAATTGCTCGTATCTCTTCACAGCCTCCCTACAACATATTTTTTTGTACTCAAGATATTATTAGGGCCACGTTTCCATGCACCAAGTGGCTTATTCTCAGACATCTGCTGGTTGATGCTTGTTCGATCCTTAATAATTGCGAAATACAAGATTCTGCAACGTCCAATACCATCTTTTACTAGAAGCAGTCAGGGACTGAATGACATTTGTTTGCGGATTCCGTCAATGATTCTGAATGACATTTGTTTGGTATTGGATTTTAAGTTTCCCAGTTTTGGAGTCACCTTTTCTTTTTCTCCCAATTCTCTTTACATTGCCAATTACTTATGTTCTAATAAAGGGTTAGAGTTGATACATTCACGTTTGTTTGGTCATATATGAGTATCAACATTTGTTCTGTTGTTTAATTTTTTAAAATTTTATGTATTGATCTGTAATCATGTGTTAGTTTGCTCAATATAAAATATATCTATTCCTAGCCATTGTTCCACCATTGAAGTAGACTTACACTGGCTCATTGAGATACTTAAGAAATCATTCCATGTGGTTTAAGCCAAATATAAATAGTCTTTCCAGTCTTTAATAAACATGGGGTTAAATTATTGATGTTGGCATAGAGATATATTTGTTAGGCACCAGTGATTCCATATGGATTATTTCTTGTTACTAGCAAGTAGTGCTGTAGTGGGCATCCATTTCTTAAAATTAATAAATTTTTACTCTTCTCGATGATTGGGCAGTTTTGTGAAGGCCAAAAGTGATCTATCCGTTGAGGATGTTACGACCCTTGTAGAAGTTGGATTAGAACTGTTCCATGTCTCAGAGAATAAAATATATGCTCAGGTTGTTTTCCATTTAACATGTCCATGAAGAAGCCGCTTTTCATTATTGCTCTGACGTTTTTGTTTAATTTGTTTAAATTAGGTTAGATGGGGAAACATCTTGGTGAAACTGTTGAATAAATACAGGAAAAAGTTGTCCTTAAAAGTTCAGTGGAGGCCTCTATACAATATTTTGATTCACACACACTTTACCAGGTGAGTCTGAAAACTTTTCTCTTCTTGTTTTCTTCCTCAGAATACTTGAGGTCATTGTTGTAAATTGTTTTGCAAAAGTATCAATTATGTTAGACTTTTTTTTTTCTGGATTTCATGTCAACTTGACCCATAAATATATCTCAGTTTCCTTATGCATGACAGAATTGTTTTCTCGCTGCTACATTTGTGTATTGTATTAATCTGTGTTCTGTTGTTTGTAAATACCTAAATACTTTTACAAGTTTCACAACTATACACCCATTTCTGATGGTGGAATGTTGGATAGAGATTAAATCTCAACAATAAAAGGCAATCTCTGTCATGGTTTATTGTAGTTAAAAGTGAGAAACTTCCCAAAATGCAGTGCGTACGAATTACCTTCAAAGTGGTTGTTACAATATAATGCTCAGTTGTTTTCCTTGTGATCCTTTTCCTGCATATTGCATATAGTATGCATGACAGCATGAGTTAGCTTTTACTTTCTGATTCAGGAATACTGGCCCTGAAGGATGGAGACTAAGACAACGCCATTTTGAGACAGTTACTTCCCTAGTTCGTTCTTGCCGGAGATTCTTTCCTCAAGGTTCTGCCTCTGAGATATGGTCTGAGTTTAGGTAATTTTCTCATTCTGATAGAAAAACTATTTGTGATACACTTTATTCTGCACATATTTTGACAAATGGCGATCCACATCTACAAAATTTGGGTATATCTATGGGAATTCCTTTAAAGGAAATGCGATGATTGTGGTAATGTGGTAATTAGGTAGGGACATGGCACAAGAACAATCTCAAAAAGCACTAAGATTATAGCAAGTTAACTTGTGCATTTTACATCCCACTGCGGTTCATTCCTGTTATGTTTGTCTTTTGTTCTGTGAATTGGAGTTGTAGATGAAATTCTGGAATTTGTTACTGCATTATGGTTTCATTTTTTACGAACTTGCAATATAATTTCTCAGGAAATTGTTTGTATTCTGCTTCTTCTAGTCTCAACATTTGCTAAAAATACCGCTGTGTGAAATGTTTTCTCAAGCAACTGCTACTTTCAAGCTTTAAACCCCAGTCAATTATATTGTTCCAACATATTGATTTGGCTGATAAATCAAGGGTAGTGTAACACTTCATTTTCGGATGAATCATTCTAGATCCCTGTTGGAAAATCCATGGCATAACGCAGCTTTTGAAGGGGCTGGATTTGTACGGCTGTTCCTCCCTACAAATGTTGAAAATCAGGATTTCTTTAAACCGTAAGGAGTTCAAATATTTTCCGTAATTTCTTGATCTGATAATTTTAACAGGATTTTTCTGGACATTACTAGTTATGTTTTCCTTGCAGTGAGTGGATAAGATTATGTCTAGATCATTGGGCTTCTATACCAAATTGCCAGTTCTGGAACAGTCAATGGGCCTCTGTTACAGCTCGTGTCATAAAGAGCTATCCCTTTATTGAGTGGGATCATTTCTTGCCCGATCTGTTCAGTGTCTACTTGAATATATTTGAGGTAAGTTAGAGGATCCTAATTTGTTGTAGCTTTTAGTTTTGTACAATGTGTTCTGTAATGATTTTGACAACAACAACAACAACAACAACATACCCAGTATATTCCCAACAGGTTGGGGTCTGGGGGGTCAGTTGTACGCAGACCTTACCCTTGTAATTATATAAGGAGGTTGTTTCCGTAGTGACCCAAGGTGCATTGCGCCGTTTGATATATATTTTTTTTCTAGAAACTTCACTAATAGAAGAAGCACTAGAATTTAATTGAGCCATTTTGATCTAGTCCATTATTAGCACTATGCCAGGAGAATTGTCAACAATGACTCTTCCAGCTCCATTTGCAATGGACAAATCTGTAATGATTTTGACGTTTGAAGATATAAATCTTCATTATCATCGAGTTACAGTATTTTCTATATGTTTGACCAACTTCGAAAAAGAATCATTATTTTAGAAAGTATATGACATGAGGCTACGTTGCAGCAACCAAACTGCAGACTAAATGATTGTTTTCTCCTTTTTTCTGAAGTAAAGATTGTGAATCAAACTAAAACCTTTGCCATGGTGTGTTGTGAGAAAGATGTTTTCCATGTGATGTATTTAATTCTGGGCTACGCGTATTTGTATTTGCCTTTTCGTTCTACATGTGATACTGTTGATCTATGGATTTTTTAACTCAAGACTCAAGAGTATGCTCTTTCTGCGGCACTTCTCTCTTTTCTGGGAAGTTTGTGCTAGTTGTACTTACCTGTTGGTTCTCTTGTATAACAAATTGCCATGGTTTACGCGGCATTGAACTTATGAAGCAAAAACTTGTAGTGAGAAGTTGAGTTCGAGATCAATAATGTTGTCACAAAGAAGACAGTTTTGTACATTCAAGAACTCACTGATACAAATTGTGACTGTGTGATATCTATACAGGTTCCGGTGGCTAATGGGAGTGGATCATATCCTTTCCCTACAGATGTTCCTAGAAACACGCGGTTTTTGTTTGCAAATAGAAGTATCACACCATCAAAAGCAATTGCTAAATCAATAGTAAGAGTTAACTATCTATATCAGATCCACCTAAATCCATCTGCATTACTCTTTGTTTTTGGTCAACATCGTCCCACTGTCAATGCAGGTGTATCTATTGAACCCTGGTAGCTCTGCACAAAGGCACTTTGAGGAATTGGCCAACCTCTTAGAACAGTTTGTTTCGCAGAATGTTTTTCGTATCACTTTCTGTGTTTTACATTCTTGTTTATTAATGTAATGCTTCCATTTTCTGTTATTTTAGATATTACCATCCTTCAAACGGTGGTCGGTGGACATACTCATTGGAACGGTTTCTGTTCCACTTAGTGGCTAGCTTCCAGAAACGCTTGCAACATGAGCAATTGTAAGAGATACTCCCTATGGATAAATAAAACATCAAAATATGTTGATATAATTTCTGAAAAGGACATTGTTTCAGGAACAATACTGTCAGCAAGCAATCTGAACTATTACTGGCAGAGTCTGACAGGGTTTCTTTTGTGAAAACTGTCCTGAAGTTTATCGACCGTGGCCAGTATAGTAAAAATGACCAGCTCTCTGAAACTGTTGCGTCCACAACTTCTATCTTGTCATATGTGGAACCATCCTTGGTTTTGCCATTTATGGCGTCTAGATTCCACATGGCTTTGGAGACTGTAAGTTTTATAAGATATATTTTCCAAAAAGTGATGGTTTATTGCATTGTATCCTATAACTATAAGAAGCTTCTTACCAAATCAAGTTATATGGGTGAAAGTAGTCCAACATGAACAAGCTGTGTTGTTCCTTTTTTTCCTTTTCATTTTTCTTTATTTTTTATTTTTTTTAATTTTATTTATTTATTTGTTTATTTTATTTTACTTAGGTCTCCCGACCATTTTATAATATAGTTGACTTTGGATGTATAATCAGATGACAGCCACCCACCAGTTGAAGAGTGCCGTGACATCTGTGGCATTTGCTGGAAGATCACTGGTTTTTAGCTCTTTGTCGGACTTGCCTATGGAGTCAACTATGACCAGTGGATATGATTCATATGCTGATCTTCTAGTAATCTCTTTGTCTAATGCTTTACTTGGTATGGATGCCAATGACCCACCCAAAACCCTGGCAACCATGCAACTGATTGGATCTCTATTCTCTAGTGTGAGGTTCCTTACAGTGAGACATATGTTTAATTGTTTAGAATTGTTTGGGATTTAGCTCATCATCGTCTGTGTGCAGATGTCTTCTGTGGATGATAATATAAATGTGGGGTCGTTATTCTCATCATTTCACTTCTCGGAATGGCTGGACGAGTTCTTGTGCCGTCTATTTGCTTTACTTCAACACTTGGAACCTAGTAGTGTACTGTAAGCAGTAATATGATATTTTGCTTCCTTTATCCTATTTCTATCTTGTATTCACTTTCACTTGTTCAGTATAGCTACTAAAAATAGTGTTAGATACCGATTTTCATTTCAGTTAACTTAATATTTTGGGATATATCTAGTGTTAGGACTCTATTTAATTAAACTATCGTTGATACTTAAAATTAACATTTGTTGAATTGAGATTGTCGGCCTTAGGCTTGCGCAGAAAGTTCCTTACCAATTCTGTGCTCGCTCTTGGGACAGGATTTTCACGTTTGTTTCTTTTTTTAATTTACTTAAATATATTTCAATTTAGTTTTTTCTTAAACCCTACACATCAAATAGGCTACATCATCTCTTAGGTCATGAAACTGGGAGTGACAAATAATTATTCCTGCAGGAATGAAGGCTCTCATACACCAGCCACTTCCGGGACTTTCCTTGTGGAGGAGGGTCCACACTACTTCTGTATGCTGGAAATATTGCTCGGCAGACTCTCAGATACACTCTACAAACAGGTGCTGCAGATGAACCTATTAATTATTTATGGTGTATTTTTTATTTGTTTTAGACGGACATTGTGAACTTGTGAATCTTAACAGGCACTTAAAAAAATTTCAAAGTTTGTCTTGTCAAATATTCTTCCTGGAGCAATTGCAGAAGTTGGACTACTTTGTTGTGCTTGTGTTCACTCAAATCCACAAGAGGCAGTTGTTCAACTTGTCAGACCAATTTTGGAGTCAGTAATTTCTGCTTTGAAAGCTGCACCGAGCTCTGGTTTTGGAACTAGATCAACTTATGCCTCTTCCTCAATCAAGGTTCTCCAGTAAACACATTAGTTAGATTTAAAATCTGGCACCTGCTAGGATATTTTATAAGCTTCTAGTTCCTTTTTTCTTGTACAGGAAAAATCAACCCTGTCTCCAGCGCTAGAGACAGCAATTGAGTATAAGTTGAAAGTACTTTCTGTTGCGATCTGTTATGGAGGTCCATCACTTATCCAGTTCAGGGACCAATTCAAAGAAGTTATTGTTTCTGCCTTTGATTCGACATCTTGGAAGGTATTGTCTCTTCTAGACTGTTGATGCATGTGTGTCTAATTAGTTGGATAAACACGTGTGAGGGAATTGTGCTAAATTTTGTCCTATATAACTTATGTGATAATTTGGACTAGTCTTTTCCACTGTTCACATTTCTTCACCATATAAAATCTTTTCATGATGTGTTGGTCCTACACATCCATTGGATTCTCAACTGAAATCTTATTATTTTGATTATAGTCCAGTTTTTAGTACCAGGATCTAAGTAAAAAAGAAAATTTTGATGTTGAGGTTACATTATGTAAATTTGTGCGTGATACTATCTAGTAGAGAAGCGGACAGGATGGAAGATCATTTCTGCCGTTGGTGTTATCTTACATGCCAATGCACATAGAAAATATTATTTATTCTCTTGAGACTGGTGTTTGTGTTAGCATTTTGTCTAGAGATAGTAGTATTTTTTGAACTCCCATATTGAGGGCTACATGATCTTCTTTGTGAAGTGTACTCCATTAGACCCGTATAGCCACACCGTCTGAGCTTTCCTTTATTTGTTGAGCTTAAGCATATGAACTAGAAACATACATTAATCCAATTTACCTAGTGGAGGTTCTTTTATCCTCATGTGGTTGACATGATTACTTGTGTGTGCACGAGAGACATCAGTGATAAGTTGATTAATATGACTTGTTTGGGATATATGCATGCTAATATCTGTGTCACTGGGGAAGGAAATTCCATAAACAGTTTATTCTTGAATCAAATTTCATCATGCCGTCACGTCTCCAATTTTGCAGGTTAATGGGGCTGGTGATCACGTTCTCCGTTCACTTTTAGGAAGCCTTGTTCACTATTATCCGGTCGACCAGTACAAGTATTTCTTGCTCCGTCTTTTGTTGATTTTCTAAGCCGTTCTGCACAATCACATGATATCATGTGCATGCATGCAAACATAAATCTTTCTGATATGTGACTGTATATTATGTCTTATTAGGTGTGTTACCCATCATCCTTTTGCTGCTTCACTAGAGCAATGGATTGATACGAAGGATTGTTCGCTCGATAAGCCAGTGATGGGACCAAAGTGGCATGTCCCTACAGAGGAAGAAATTAATTTAGCAAATGAGCTACTTAAGCTGCACTTTGAATCTGCGCTTGATGACCTGCTAACAATCTGCAGATCCAAGATTCATTCGGATCCAGGTATAAATGGACGCATTCCTTCTCAAAATCTTTTCTAAGTTCTATACAAAATAATTTAAAGAGACAGATACACATGCCACTATACATATTTTTAAATATAAATTAATATATCTTGATTCAATTAATTGGCATAATTTGTGATTATATACTACAGGTTGATTTGTTAGCAAGCAGGACTTTGGCAGACATGAGAACTTTTTATTAAGTAATAAAGTACAATAGTACAATATCTTTTCTTTACTCTTTTCTTGATGACTAATAGGCACCTTTTACGTGCAGGAGACGAGAAAGATCACTTAAAAGTGACTCTTCTACGTGTTGATTCTTCATTACAAGGTGTCTTGTCTTGTTTACCTGATTTCAGGCCTTCCTCTGACAATGGAATGGTTAAGGAGGCAGGCCGTTCTTTTTTTGTGATTGCTGGGGCTACTGGGTCATGTGTTGGTAGCTCAGAATTACGTGAAAAAGCTGCTGATGTTATCCACGAAACTTGCAAGTAAATTTGATTGTCTTCAGTATTATTGTTTTGTAGCTGATCAATTCCAATGGTTGTTTCTTTACATCACTGAGTTACCTTTACAGATACTTATTGAAGGAGAAGTCTGATGATAGCATTTTGTTGCTACTTCTCATCCGGGTGATGGATACATTGGGAAATTATGGTGAGAATACTTAATAGAAACGATGCTCTTCCACACGATATCTGATCTCATAATCTTTCCTTGGTATGAATCTGCAGGAAGTTCAGAATATGAGGAGTGGTCTAACCACAGGCAGGCCTGGAAGCTGGAATCTACTGCCATTGTAGAGCCTCCAATAAATTTTATTGTGTCATCTCACTCGAAAGGAAAAAGAAGGTGATTTTCCTATTATTTCTTTTATTTAAATATTTTTATTTTGATGTGATCCATTACTCTGTGGCTAAAGGTGTTTTCATTATAGGCCTCGGTGGGCACTAATTGACAAATCTTATATGCATAACACTTGGAGGTCATCACAGTCGTCATACCATTTGTCCCGCGCAAGTGGGAACATATTTCCATCAGATCGTGTGATTTGTTTAATGGACGATCTTCTCGATCTGTGTTTACATAGTTATGAAACAGTTCGGAGGTGAGTTCATAATTTTTCCTTTTCTCATTTTAATTTTGTAATAAATGTCTGTGATCTAAGAACTTAATAGTCTAATGTCTACAATGGTAAGTTTTGTCAGTTACATGGGTGTGCGTATACTTGCTTGGTTTCATATCTACACCGTGTGATGGAGCATGTCTTACGTACTTGTATCTTGATAAAGGTGTTTCCTTTCGGAAAGTATCTTGTTCTATTTCTGTTATTCACTCATAGATTGATTAAGTATATTGCCCGAAGTTGCTGTTTATGCTTATTGTTTACAAATGATCTATCAGTGTGTATGATAGCGTCTATCTACTATATGTAGCATACACGAGGCTCAGGAAGTATGAGTCTTCCTCAATTTTCTGTCTGTGCATGTGGATGTATGTTTGCATGAACAGCAGCATTCATTGATGCCTTTAAAAAAAAATTGAACTATCCTTATTGTGGTCAGATTTGGTTATACATATGGTGAATTGTTGTTTCCTCAGGCTTGCTGCAAAATCTATCCTGAAGATGATGAAGAGATGGCCATCTACAATTTCGAAGTGTGTGGTAACTCTTTCTGAAAATCTTAGAAATCCAAGCTTGCCAGAATATGCGGTGTTAGGTTCTTGTGCAGTACTTTCATCCCAAACAGTTCTCAAGCGTTTAACAACGGTACCACTCTGGGAAAATTACTATTTTGAAACATTTGAAGTGTGTTGTTTGTGTTCTACTGATACTCTTCTTGCCCCTTCAAATCTAGGAAAGGAAGGCTCTTTCATCGTTCCTTATAGGAGTTCTATTCAGGTATTTTTCTCATTATTATTAATAACATGGATATCTGTTATTGGATGTGCTTTGAAATTCAGTGATGAGTAGTGGCTTCTCTCTACCTTTTGTTACTTGAAGCTCCCATCATGAATCAATAAAAGCTCAGAAAGCAATAACTGAGGTAAGCTACATGTTTCCCTGGTTTCATTTTAGTATTTATTTTGGGCTCTTGCCATTTTATGGGAGAACTCCTTAGTGGTCTACTATAGATGACATTTGTCTGTGTGTTTATATATATGTGATGTCAACAGCTTTTTGTCAAGTATAATATCCATTTTGCTGGACTGTCAAGAAGCATCTTTGGAGCCCCAGGCAATCATACCGATGGGCCTAGTTTTCCAGATTTGGTTGCTGAAATTGGTTCAATGAGTTTTGAAAGTAGCAACTTGCACTGGAGGTACAACTTATCTCCTGCTCTGTAAATCAGTGTTCTAAAAAAGTTGCTAGACAGCTGTTAGGCACTAGACCAGTGGCTAGCACCTAGAGCGCGTAGGCGGGACCTACAAATGAAGCTTAAATACCTTAGTTTATTTTTCCCAATGAGATTACCCGAACTTAATCCACACCTCATTCCAGTGTTCAAAAGAAAACATGGTATTCCGCATGACCACAACTTAGTAACATCAAGCAAAAATATTCAAAAGAACTTATGAAGACATGATGAGTCTATTACTTAAAAAATTCATATTGAATTCATCTTCTCCATTACTCTCCAATACATGCTCTTGATTCGACTCAAAGGCTTTTTCTTGCTCAATGATTTCTTTTGAACCGGGGTAGTTTTGCAATGTCCTCATAAGTAAGATTAATGTTGTGCATGGCACATGAAGTCCAAAAGAAAATTGGCCTCTGCCTGCAATATCTATAGATTTTCATAAGCCTATGGCTACCAGTGTAAATTACCAAGAGGTCCTACTTGCATCCATAATTGTGCATCTTAACTCACATATAGGACATTTTTGTGCGTAGTTGCTCATTGTTACCTGACATGCACCATTTTCAGGTACAATTTAATGGCTAATAGAGTTTTGCTGTTGCTGGCTATGGCATCTAGTAATGATCCGAATGTGTCCCCAAAAGTTGTGAGTGAAATCGCTGGTATGTTACTAGAAGTGTTAGATCATGTCATTTCTGCATGCTTTAAAATTATAACTGTTGTCTTAGAAGTTGTATGATGTATCTATTACGATGTATACTTTAGCAAATAAAGAAAAATATATTGGTTTCTCATGCCATGAATGTGGAAATTCCAGGACACTTCTTGAAGAATTTAAAAAGCCAACTTCCACAAACCAGAATACTAGCAATCTCAGCTCTAAACACGCTTCTGAAAGAGTCACCATACAAATATACAGCAGAGAACTGTGCCAATGCCCATGGATATCTGGAAGGAGACACAAAATCGTCTCTTGAAGGAGCCTTAAGTGATATTTTCCAGGAAGAAGGCTTCTTTAGTGAGACTTTGAATAGCCTTTCTCATGTCCATATTATCACTGACATGGAGACTGCTCCTTCCAGAGGACATTATGGAAGTTCTACCATGCAGAGTTTTGCTGACAAATCAATAACGCGTTTCTACTTCGATTTTTCTGCTTCATGGCCTCGCACTCCTAGTTGGATATCATTATTTGGAAATGATACTTTTTATTCAAACTTTGCACGGATCTTTAAGAGATTAATCCAAGAATGTGGCATGCCTGTTTTGCTGGCTCTGAGGACTGCACTGGAGGAGTTTGTTGATGCTAAGGAGAGATCAAAGCAATGTGTTGCTGCTGAAGCTTTTGCTGGGATACTGCATTCTGATGTCTTCGGTGTTTCAGAAGCATGGGACAGCTGGATGGTGGGTCAGCTGCAGAATATCATTCATGCACCAACTGTGGAGTCTATTCCGGAGTGGGTCGCAAGTATTCGTTATGCAGTCACTGGGAAGGGAAAGTCAGGAACTAGAGCTCCACTTCTGAGACATAAAGTAATTGATTGCCTGATGAAACCTTTATCTCAAACAGTCACTTCTGCTGTAGTTTCCAAACGCTATACCTTGCTTTCGGCCGTTCTCATAGAGATATCTCCTCCAAGAATGCCTGAGATTGAAATAGTGTTTCACTATAATCTTCTGGTGGAGTTGCTGAATAACATGAGTCACTCGTCCGCACAGGTAAGCAAACATATTTCATCAGTTGTGCTCTGAGAAAAATATGACGCCGTTTGAAAATTTGTTGAATCTTCTAGTCTAGAACTCTCTGTCTGTCATATTTTATAGACTCAGTGGGACCAGCTTCCTTACCTATCAATTGGTTTTTTCTTAGTTTGTGGTCAGATTTTGAATTCCATAATTTTGAGACAGCATATAAATACGAGCAAGACTTGAGAAAGTATTTTAACTTTTGTTCTGCTTGTGCATTTTGGAGCAAGACTCTTCATGAATCAAGCACTTTGTTATGGGGATGGGAAGTGTACAAACAAAATATGTTTTGGCTTTCTGGGGATGGGGTGTTAGAGTGTTTGCCTTACCCGATGATAAAGTAGTGATGTTTTCTGTAGTTCCTCAGAGGTGATTTGTGTAACTCTGGTTGTCCATTGTATGTGGTTTTCTTTTCTCTCAGATTTTGAAAGTTTGTATGTTTGATTCTGAATTAGACTTGTTCTTCCCCACTATATTTNCTCATCTTTCTATTTATTCTCCCCCTGTTTATCTGAATGTCTGTTAAATTCTTAGGTTTCCTATCTGGCAAATTCCAGGCATGAAGTTTGTTGTTTTGTGGGATGTTTATTTTTGTAATACACGGCCAGTGACTTCTTTCGGTTATCATTTTCTTAGTTCTATGTTTTTTAAATTGTTGTGGTGAATTTGAAATAAGATATTTCTTGCAGAAGTCCTGTTCCAGTTCTTTCAATAGGAACTTATCTGGTTATATCTTCTCCATTTCCTCACAAGTGTTTCTTCAACTATCATCTTACTAATTCTTTTGTACAAAAGGTGAGAGAAGCCATTGGTGTTACACTTTCGGTATTATGCTCGAACCTGCGGCTTTGTGCGTCCTTTGGCAATGAGCACTTGAATGTGGAGGTACCCAGTGGCTCAGATGTAAAAGCTGCAGGATGGGATCAATATCTGGTACAACGGGCCACTGAACTGGTTACGAAGATACAAAACGTCAGTGCATCAGAAACTTTAGACATGTCAACTGATAATATAACTCAGAACGGGGTGTCAACTGGCAATACTAAAGATGATATCAGATGGATGGAGACGGTATTTTTATTTGTACTCTGAGTTATAGCAAATTGCATGTACTTATTCAGTGTTGTTTGGCTTCAAGAAATTGATTATGTTGTTCTACTTGTGCAGTTGTTTCACTTTATCATATCAACTTTGAAGTCTGGAAGGTCACCGGTTATGCAAGATGTTATTGTAGAACTATTTTACCCTGTGATATCATTACAGGTAATCATACTTCTATGCTTCTGGCCGTGATCGATCATTCTTATGTCCCAGAACAATTTGATCTTTTCGTCCTTGCAATATGACTTGCTTTTGCTCCCCTCAATAACTGAGTTGACCATCATCAAGTATACTGATCTGTGATCTGAGCCATATAACGTTTTCCTGTTATTGCTAAAGAGAAATGGAACATCTTAGGGAAAGGTTGCAATAAATTTGTAATGTATTGTTTCATTTGCTCTAGTGTTGGCTACAATGTTTTGTCTGCTATAATGATGTTTATGCTGCTACAATGATTCTCTCAAGCCCTAGGTCCAAACTCACGATTAATTTTTTATTTCGAAAGGAAACATCAAATAAAGATCTGTCGAATCTGGCTAAGGCTGCATTTGAATTGCTAAAATGGAGGGTGTCTGGGGAACCTCATCTACAGAAAGCTGTGCCTATTATTCTTTCTTTGGCCAGTGATGCCAATTGGAGAACTCGATCCGCAACTTTAACATTTTTGCGAAGTTTTATGTACAGGTATGCTAATTTTGGAGGTGCCTATTTCTTAGGTGCGGTATTATCTATATTCTTGTCATAGTATTGCCCAGTCCTAAATTGTGAGTTCCGTAGCCCTACAAGTATGATAAAGCTTTTAAAGTTTTAAGCACGAAATATGTCAGCTCGTCAGTTATTTATATTTAGTGCAAACTGTGATTATGTTGGCATGCAGCATTAAACATTTATCTGTATGCAGTATATGTAGGCAAACAATACTGTACCAACGTTAATCCTAGTCATTGTGCATATCCTGTCTCTACCTATGATCAATAATATCATTACCATTTAGTCTTTGGAAAGTTAATATTTATTGCACCCTTTGCTTTCTCTGTTACTGATGCTGCTGCTGCTGAAATAGAGTGCTTGATAGTGCTTGATATCTATTTACAGGCATGCTTTTATTCTCTCTAATATGGATAAACTGCAAATTTGGCAAGCTGTAGAGAAGCTTCTCACGGACAATCAACTAGAGGCAAGTTCTGACAGTTAATGGGGCCTTAGGCAGCGATTTAATGGTTTTCAGTTGCCTGTGATACGAAATGTGTTAAAAACTGCATGTCCTCGACACTACCAAAAATTAACCAGATGGAAATTTTCTCTATATTTTAAGGATTATTCTCCCTTTTGCATTTGTGATTTCTGGCAAAAAGTATTTATCATGATCTATTGATACAGGTAAGGGAGCATGCTGCTGCAGTTTTAGCCGGACTGATGAAGAGTGGGGATCAAGGTTTAGTTGAAGGTTTTCGCCAAAGGGCTTATGAACAAGCGAGTGCTATAATTAAGAAAAGGAAGAACAGGTAATTAGCTTGAGTTTTCGTCTATGTTGTGTGTATATGCCTTTTTTCCCTTTCACTGAATGAGAATTAACTAAAAACATCCTGTTTTCACGCTGTAAGTGTTAAAGTTATAGATTTGGGGGAAGAGGAAGCACCCCATAAGAAGGGTGAGCCTAGTTGCACCTTAGTGAGGTTTCATCCCACAATTGACGGTGGGAGGAGTAGCCCACAAGGTTTATAAACTAGACTCATTTACCCTATTGAATCAATGTGGGACAACTCACAAGTAATATTGTGACATGCCCCAACTTGTGAATCCTTCATAGGCCTAAGCTCAAAGCAGACCGGGTAGATTAAATCATCGCAGGTCCTAGATTGCTCTGTTACCATGTTAAAGTTATAGATTTTGGGGAAGAGGGTGTGGTCTGATAGAGGTGAAACACACCATAAGAGGGTGAGCCTAGGTGCACCTTAGTGAGATTTCATCCCAAAACCAATTGGTGATGAAAGGAGTAGCCCATTTCCCCTATAAAGTCAATGTAATATGGACAACTCACAAGTGATGTTCGAGTTCGAACAGTAAGAATACACAATACACACAACAACTCAGTTAGACTGAGTTTGTTAAAAAAATACTATAAAGTTGTGATTGTTATATTTCTATAGCTCAGTTGTATGCAAAATTGAATATCTTAATTTTAACGGTATTTGGACATAAGTAAATTGTGCCCTTAACTAACACACTCGAAGAATAAGTGGAGACCAAATGCAGAGAATCTAACTTAGTTGCCAAGGCATTTAAGTGAGGTACATGGTCTTCATCTTTGTCACTTATGTCTCTGATTTTTAAACATATTTCGTTTGGAGTTGTGACATAAAGAAAGTATAAAGTTCACAATTTACTTAACAACTCGAAGCCGCTGAATATATCTAGGTCTCATTTCTTCTGCTGGAAATTTTGTTACATGTGCTTAAGTTTATGGTTGCTATAATGACAGTTTTATACATATACAGCCTAGTCTTCCATGTACTAATTATTGGAGATCATTAGTGTCATCATAGTTTGATTGTTTTGACCTTAGATCCATGCTCTGTTCAGATACCTTTGTGTTTTAATTTTATATATTAACACATTTGCGAGAATTACAGAAAAGTGGTTTCTACTTTGCCCTTGGCATCTGTGCATGGCTCAATACTTGCTTTGGCAGCTTGTGTGCTGTCGGTTCCTTATGATATGCCCAGGTAATTTCAGCATTTTAAATTTTCATTCATATTGATATATTATTCACCACCATTAATCTTGTCCAATAATCCCTTTAAGTACCTTAATATGTGTAGTTATTTATGATAAGAAACAAAAATAGTTGTAAACTGTCGTCTATAGTATACTAATTTGTATATTCCATTTAACATGCATTTTTATAGTTCCCATTTGGGTAAATTATTATTTGCAACCCGCACTATTTGCATATTTGAGATTCGCAACCTGTACAATTTTTTGTAATAATTTGCATCCTGTAATACAAAAAATGTCTATATCACAACCTCTTGCCACTGGCAGTCCAAATTTTACCGGATTAACGAGCGTCGCATCCTGTATAATTTGGACTGCCAATGGCCGGCGGTTGCGATATAGACATTTTGTGTATTACATGATGAAACTTATTACAAAAAAAATGTACAGGTTGCAAATAGTGCCTTTCCCATTTTTTGAGTTAAATTTTTTTTTCGCGACCTGTTAATATGCTTTTCACCAACACATGAAGTTAAATTTGTTTCAGTTGGTTGCCGGAGCACGTAACGTTGCTTGCCCGCTTCGTGTCAGAGCCTTCACCACTGAAATCAACAGTTACAAAAGCTATAGCCGAATTTCGCCGCACGCATGCAGACACATGGAATGTGCATAAAGACTCGTTCACTGAAGAGCAACTCGAGGTCTAGCCCTTTATGATGAAAAATACATGTCCTTTTAATACCAAAAGAAATAACTCTTGAATATTTGCAAAATGTAAATTGTTATCTGATGTGTTTTAACATGAATTATCTCAGGTTCTGGCTGATACTTCATCGTCATCTTCGTACTTTGCTTGATACAAAGCCAGTTGCAAAAGAAAGGTATAACATAGACATCATGGATGTATCATTTGATATATTTGTATTACATTCTGTAATATGAAATATTGTTACGTGCTCTACATGGTTTTATATGCCTCATTTCTTTGAGGTTCGAGAGAAATAAATATATTACTGTAAGTTGGAAAGTGTTGTATTTCTAATGACTGGTTCTTTCCTTTCCTAAAACCCATGCCAACATCCCCCTAATTTCGTCTTAATTTTTTTTTTATTTTCTTTTTTTTGGTAGTCTAGTGAGTAGAGACGAGTTTGAATTCAAAGTTGAAATCAGCAAGTATTGAGCCAACATAAAATGCTATTCAAACTAAATTCTAAATTAGGTTGTCGTCCAACTTAACTTGCGAGATGTTCAAAATTGGAATGAGCGAGTATTTAATTTATTTTTCGAGAAGTAAGTATACCGTAAATATAAATTTGCGGGATTCCCAAGAGAACGTTTTTCATTAATTAAACATGAACATCCTGTTGTATTCTTTCATGGATTACAATGATAAACAAAATAATCTCCATCATCTCATGACCTCTATCGATAGAATCGTTTGAAGTGAACCACATTCCACTACCTTAGGCACTTTTCTTCCTTTAAGATCTTCTAGCTCATAAGCTCCTTTTTCTAGTACACGGGTCACCGTATCTAATTTTTCCACAGGCTTAAGTGCGTCATCTCTTCTCAAATAATATTTCATACAAAATATTTTCTACAATTAGAAATAATATTATAAATATTTTTAATTTCTTATTAATAACCTAACTTAAATTTAAAAGAAAATGCAAATTATCTTAAATTAATTTAATAAGACATTAACTCATAATAAACTAAAATATAAAAATATACATAATTAAATGAAAATAAAATCATTAAAGTAACTTAAAATAAAATATTACCTTGTATTAAATACGTATATACAAAATCAATACTATTTAATATAAGCTAATTATTATAATATTGGATTATAATAGTTATAAAAAAATTATCCACGGAAAAATAATTCTAAAAAATAATTTATTATTGAAAAAAAATAATAAAATAACATATAATATTTTTTTGAAAAACAAATATTGAAACTAAATAAATCAAATAAATACAAATAGTATATTTTTATTGAATACAATATATAGTTACTAGAAAAAATTATTATTTTAAGAATATATTATATAGAAGTATCATTTTTTATCCAAATAAATTTAATTTAATTTCATTACAATTTATTAAAATGTATTTTAATTTTTATGTTACATTAAATTTTAGATTTACCTTTTTTTTAAATTTACATTATTTTATTTTATTTTAATTAATCTATTTTTTCTAATTTAATTCATTATAGTTTATCTTATTCGTTTTTTTACAAATGTATTTATTCCGGTTAGAGCTGTTAAATTAAACGAGCAGCTCGTGAGCTCGACTCGGCTCAACTTGAGCTCATTTAAAGCTCGTTCAGCTAACAAGCCGAGCCGAGATGATTTTTATGCAATTTTTTATAGTTCGGCTCGATTTTGGCTCATTATTATTGTTAATGAGCCGAGCTAGAGCTCAATTATAAGCTCATTAAGCTAATCACCCGAGCACAAGCTCGACTTTAAACTCATTAAGTTAACGAGTCGAGCTCGTCTCGTGAAGGGCTTGAGCTTGAGTTCGACTCGGTTCATTTATACCTCTAATTTTGATTTATGTATATAGATATAATATATTTAAACATTGTTGTGTTGTAACTATAATGTTGGCTTGTCGTGGTGGGTGTAATGCTTGTCTATACATTGGAAGGAGAAGTTGCAATTTTTTTATTTTGCCTAATAAAGTCACTGAGGTTAAAATTGTAAATTAATACATTTTATTAAATAAAAAATTAATATTATTCGTACAATGCATGTATTGCACGCACCAGTATCTTTGATGGGAGAATCATACAAGCAAAATCTACCTAAATATAGGGAGGTTTTGTGCATTTTTTAAAATACTGGTGAGAACGTGCAACTTTCGCTAAATACAACATTGTAGTATATTTTACCAAAAAAATTATAATAAAATTATATTTTAATTTTTATTCATGAAATGTTCAATACTTATAAAAAAAGTGACGATAATCAAGTAAAACTAATATAATAATTATAAGTATATAACACTTCTTATAATCTTTGTATGGAACAATACCAATTAGTATATTTCATAAAATGTATTCAGTAAGTTATGAATTATTATAAATATAAATAAACATATTAATATGTTTTATGACTACGTCTAAGCCTTGTCTGATCCCTGCCTAGGCGTTAGGCCCTAGTTTTCCTAGCGAGTACCGCAACGCCTTTTAGAATCTTGACCATCTGCAATAAACTACAAACAACAAGCTCTTAACCCCTTTCTCCTTGGCCTTACACTTTTGGTCAAATCGTTGTCTCCTCGCCAAATCCACAGACATTTGAATTTTGAATTGAAGTTTCAGTTCTGAGAGCTTCTGGTATGCAGTTCTTATTTGTCTGGGATTGAAAGACTAACTTGTACATTGGAGTGTGCGGTTGTGGCATTGGGTATTCCAAGGAGGATGAGTCCATATGTTATGGGTTTCCATCGTATTATATTTATTGTTTCGTTAAATAATAAATAAATAAAAAGTGCAAGGGTTAATTCACAGTGGCAAAACGCCTTCCCAACCAAACGAATCCTTAAGCTGTAAGTTGATAAAATGAAAACTATTACAAGCATGTTACAGAGTACAGACTTCCACTTCATCATAATAGCTAATGATCTTTCTTTTCTAGTATAAGAAATGTAGTATTGTTAGTCCATTACTCTGTGTGAAAAGGTCCTAGCTGAAACGAGCAGCCACAATTCCTTCAATGGATCCAGCGAAAACGAACATGTTTATAACAAAGCAGACAATGCTAAAACTCCTTAAAACGACCCACTTTATAGTCCATGGTTTTAAATCTTTCTGTCTCAACCACATCTCCACAGGAAAATATATGGACAGTGGCCAAAAGTTGATGGTCCCCAGAACCCCCAAAACCTGATTGAAATAAGGGAAAACCATAGCGACTCCAGTTGTTGATGCAACATAAGCCGACCGAAAGCACAATCTCGCGAGATTTAAACTCAAAGGTGGCAATAACGGGAATTTGAGAGTATAGTTTCTGTTGACGAACGAGATGCACGGGAACTGCTCAGCCAGCCATTTATCCACCATGGCAAACACTGGCTGAGAATATACCTGATTAACGCAAGTTGGATGTAATTGTTAAGTCCGTAAGGAGGAATTTCATACTTAGTGCACAATCTATTATCCACAGGCTGAAAGGGAAAATTAATTTTTCATTTCATTACGTACAACCTAACCGTCAAACACTTCATTTAAATTTTTCAAATTTTAGTTTCCATTTATGACCATCGTTAAGTTTCAAGAAGTACATGAGCCGCTGATTCTGGTTTATGAGTTGAAAGTGGGGAATCTCGATTGGACTAATTTCAGATTTATCATTATTTACCTGATAACCCCCGATCAAGTGTACAACGACGCAGGCATTTGCAAAGTCGATTACCAAGTGGGATCCATAGTTCCCAAATCCGGTCAAGAGGTCGCCCGGTGTTTGATCACCAAACGCCGCATAACCAAAGCCGCCACAGCTTAAATAAAAAAATGTGGTGATAAAGGTAGATATTAATGATGCCTTGTTCATGGTCTCTCTCTCGGATGGAGGTGATCTCAATGTATCCTTCAAATTTCAGTCATCATAAATATGATTAGTCTTTATAAACATACATTGTATTTTTTTTAAAAAAAAAAAAAAAGAAAATTACTTTTACCTGTATTTCCAAAACAATCATGGAGTAGGGATATGCAAAAGCAATGTCCCCAACTGCTTGAGAAACTCTCCACAACTTCTGCATTGTAGTCGAAGCCGAAACTCCACCTACACTACCCTTAATCACTCTATTTCCTGAAAAAAAAAATAAAGAAAGAAAAGAAAAAACAGACAAATGCATAAAAATTCAGAAGACTTATAATGTACACGATCTTTTCAAATGTTGAATGTCTAATTTTTTTCCTCTGACCGAATTGAGAACTGTACCCACGACTTTTGCAGCTCCAAGGCCCAATCCAATTGTAGAATAGGCTAAGGACATGATAGCGGCAACTACAGAGAGCCACTCCATGCTATGGAAATCGGGAATTTGTGACATGAAAATTTGAACAACGCCAAATATCAGCATGTACTGTGTGCTCCCGAATTCGCAAGGGTCATCTTTTCCATCCTTTCTGTAACAGCTTGATCTCCGGATTGCTCTGTGCATCACAAAAGGATAGACATTTTTTTTTACTCAGAATTGGTGGAACATCAAACTCACCTAGAGCTCAAGTGTGAAAAGCTACGACGGGCATTCAAAATACCAATGATAAATTAATGGAGTGAAATATGAGTCAATGTTAGTACGAACGGGACCTCATGCAGATAGCGGTAGTAATAGTGTAAGCTATTCCTGTCCCATAGAGATTCATTTGTATAAGCAAGCCGCATATCCATGCATTCTTCTTGCCTTCGATGCAAGAAAAGCATTAAACATTAAACTTGAAAAATTTTACCGAATATCAGCTATAAATGAAGCATTAAATTATATAAACTTATTTTTAATTTCCATTTCTGCTAAGACAAGTTTGATATTATTGTATGAGTTGTGATCAAATCTGCAAAGCAGAACATACATCATCTCCATCTCCATAGTACCAATTAGCCTTTCACCCCCAAAATTATCAGCTACAGACCTAACAATAGATTTAAATCGCAATTACAGTTTTTCCGAAAAATGGGAAATAAATCCAACATACCTAAATTCCGCTTAACAGCAGCCAGATAAGATCCATTTCTAACAGGACCATAATCGGGATCCGGAGATCGGTAGCAGCTGCAGAGGAGGAAGGTGGATGCTAGAGTAACAGCGGCAAAGAACAGCATGAGGAGTGGGCCCCACACCCAGCCCAGCTGCGCCATGCTCCACGCCAGGGACAGAACCCCCGACCCTATGACGCCGGTGATGATGTGGGCGACTGCCGTCCACGCATTCCCTTCACAATCCCAATTTTTCCTATAATGAACGCAATGGCTTTGGAAAACGCCGAGGGCAAAAAATACAACAATTCAATAGTGATAGATGAACAAAAGAGAAAAAAGAAAACCGGTTCGATTGGGGGAGGCACTGGCCGGATGATCGGAGCCAGCCAAGTCATCGTCGACGGGCGGCGACGGGAGGCCGAGTTGCAGTAAAGGGATGGGCTCATTTGAGTCTGCTGCTCCCATTGATGCAAAATGCTGGCCGCCCTTGCAAACAAACAGATTTGAAGCTGGGATGAAAATTATGGGAAGAAGACGACCGCTAGATTTAGGATGACAGATTTGAATCAAGCTGGTCCGCCATTGTCAATGCTCTCGACTTCTGACTTCTGAGATCTGAACGCTATTACTATTGGTTGTTATATTACTTATTTTTATTATTAATTAACTGTTTTCGTAAGTGCGAGCATCTTTAACCATGCCACGTCAAAATCTTCATAAACTTCCTTTTATACTTTCCAACATGTCACATCATCCAAAACTCTATTCTTATTCCTATACTCAAAACCTCCAATAACAATAAACCTCATAAACCTCTATTTTATGGATCCCATATGTTTTTCACTATTTTTAATTAATATAACTCTTATATTTTTATTAATATTTTAAAACTATAACTCCATTTTATATTTATTCAATTTAAATAATTCATATATTTATCATAGATACATATAAAAATATAATATAAGTATATAAAATTATATTGAATTATTTATAATTATAGAGTGTTAGTATGTACCAATATAAATTTTTACTTACAAAAAATTATGAAACATAGAACTTACATAATGTTGAAATTAAAATTTGAGTACAATTTTTTCTAAACTAAACAATCTCGTTTTATTTTTTTCTTTTACGAATAAAGATTGTTAGTATTCGTTCTTGTTCGAAAATATTTGATTTTCAATTGTTATGTTAACATCATACTTTTATATTTATCATGTTCATTATAATTTTTTTATTAAAAATAAAAAATAAAAATTACATTTTAAAATTTAAAATATTATTATATTTAAATAAGGGGCAAATTCCAAGTGAGAAATAAAATTATTAATATTAAATATCACAAAATAAATGAAAAATGAGGGGACAATTATATCAAGCTTGGGCCCACTCTCCCACTCTCCATTTGCGCGTGTATTGCACCACACTAGCAAATAAACCATAAACTGAGGAAGTTTACTTTACTCTCCTTCTTCTCATTTCTTTTTATTTTGTTTCATTTTTTAATTTACAGGTTTGGTGGAGGTTTGTAAAAGCAACACCAGTTTAAAATTTCAAACCTTGAACCTCTTCACTTTAATAGCAAAACCTTGAGGTTTGATTTTACAAACCTCTTTAAACCACACTATTAAAGATGCCCTAAGTGGAGAAAATTCAATTATTTTTTTTTTTTTTTTAACACAACAATAAGAACTCAAATATAAACCAAGAAAATAGTTCACGGCGGGAGATCAACTTATCTCAATGACTAAACAACCGAGCACCACACAACCTTGGTGGCCTAAACAACCCAACTGAGCCCAACAAAACAACCAAGCCAGCTAAGAAAAAGCACAAGTTTGAGACCTTATCCCTATACCAACAAGGAAACAACACAAAAACAAAGAAGAAAAACAAGAAAACACCTAACCTAAGGGCCTAGTTTCTTATCTTCCTTCCCCTACCAAATCAGCTAACTGAAGAAGAAGAGCACAACAACATAAATTCATTCCACTCAGTCACAGCAGCCTGAATGATGATGCTCTCTTCAGCCATGTTCCTTGGAATAGCCACAGGTTTTTTGCTTTCCAAAATCACCACAAAATGTATGTTGTTAATTGAATCATGGCCTCTGAAGTGTCCTTTCTGTGTATGGAGCAGAATCCCACCACCAGTTCTTAAAACTCCCTTCAGAGTTTGCTCCATCCCATTGAATTGGTGTCTGCTTCCAAACCTGGATTGCTTTTCTGCATCTAAGGAAAATGTGTTCAATGATCTCCACTTCTTTTTCGCAAGTCTTACAAATGGTATCAACATTCACACCTCTTTTTTGCACTACAGCTTTGCTGGTAAAGGTCTTGAGTAACACTTCCACATGAAGTGTTTGATTTTCTGTTTCACTTGCAGCTTCTAGTTTCTCTTTCTCACCTTTTGATTAAAGTTGGTAGAAAAACTTCTTTCATCTCTGTCTAGGATCCATATTTTGTCTAGGATGCATTTTAAATAAGCTGTAGCCATCGAGAATTTTCTAGACTTTTCAAGAACCCAAATCCATGTATCCTTCAGTCCTAGATTCTAAGATTTGACATTGACGATTTCTCCACTGGAAACAAAATTAGCTTAAAAAGTACCATAAATAATTGTTACACAATACATTATTGTCTTCCATCAATATTTCTTCCATTACCAAATTTGTCTAGAAGTTATAGATCACACAAATCTTTCTTTCTTTATTTCATTTGACTAAAGGTTTATCCCATTCATCATTTTTTTTTCAAGTTAATAAATTTTAACCCATTTTTGAGTGTGTTCTTTATTTGCGTAATGAATAATGAAGAACTAAAATTATGTATCATAATTATATTGGTAATATAATTAATAAAATCTTAATACTAAACACATTCCTTTTATAATTAATATTAACCTCTTGATTTACGAATGTCACAATTTATTATAAATTTGTGATGCGACCAAGATGAAAAAATTATAAGTATAACTAATAATGTTGTGTACAAAACTCAAAATAACTTTTTCATGTACTACACGGAAGTCGTAATCATTTCATTCAGATTTATTCCTTTTTCATACCAAACGCATCGAAAAAACTTCGTTTCATTTCTTTCCTATATTTATTACATTCTTCAACTCATTCTATTCCTATCAAATTACATTCTTCTCATTTCATTCTTATCAAATTCCATTGCATTATACCAATCATGACATAATAAGTTAAAAGTAGTACTGTAGAACGACTGTTCAAACCACCTCCAAATTTACGTGTTATCATCACATTAAATCCTTTAACGACGTCCCCGCAGATTGCACACATAAAACTAACATCATACTGACCAAACTCAAACCAGACAGAGAAAACTCAACCCAAACAGAGCACTACTTTTCACACATTTATCACACACACAGATACCATTATCGATTTGATTTAATATCTATTGCTGAGTGTGGGTGGCATGATAGGGCCCCAGCTGAATATACCCAGCCCAATCAGTCCCTTTCTCCCTCTCCACGCCGTCGCCGTCCCTCCTCCCGTCCGCGGCCGATCGGAGGACCCACGCCACCACAAACCTACCCGCGACCGCCATGGCCCCAGCGGCAGCGAATCCGAGCATCGCCAGCCCGAACACGCACGCCGCCCCAAACAGCACCGGGAAGAATATAAGGAACAACGGCGAGGCAACGAGGAGCAGAGCCACGGTGGCCGCGAAGCTGATCCCCATCAGGCAGAGCAGTGGGCCAACAACGATTAGGGCGGCGGCCGATGCCATGACCGCCGTCTTCGACGAAACCCCTAAGTGACGCCTCCAGGGACCGACTCGCTGCTGTTTTTCCGGCGCGATATCCATTAATTGAGGTAGAATTTAACGATTTAATCGGTTGAACTGAAACCTAAATTGGGATTATTTTAGTGCTTTTTAGGAGTAGTGTGCATATGAGTGAGAATAGGCGAGTTTATAGGGGAAAGAGGAAGGGAAGAAAACGTGTCAGCATGTGTTCCTACACGTGTATTGCCACTCATAGGTGGGTACTCTGCTGTGTGTTGTGTATTTTATCTTAGTAACAATTTATTTATTTTTCCAAAGAGTTGGATAAACATAAGATACTTCATCGTATGTCACAAAGGAATACACGACTGAGTTGGTATGGATAAGTCATTTAGTTAGATAATCTCCGGCCGCATAAATAATTCTTAACGCTAATGGTGATTTTGATTACTCAAAATTTGTTTTCTATTGATAAGTGATTATCTACTCAACGTCTCGCCACAAGTCTTTTTTTTTAATGACTTGTAAATATATATGAGTGTATTGATAACAAATGTTTAGATAAATATGTAGCAGTGATTAATTTTTTTAATATAAAAAGTATGTTAAATATATAGAGTGAGAAATGGAACTGAAAGAATATGGAAAATGATACATTATCAACAATGTTTCACTTGTGTTGTCAACGTCGATGTACACTAGGTTGACAATATAATATTTCTCAATAAAATATAGCTAATTGCGTCTAAACTATTTTACCGCGTTGATATAGGATTTGATGAAACAACCTTCATTTAGACTTTGACATGATCAACTTTATTAAATACGGGAGACTAACACTCATTAGATATAGAATAATCACAAAGTATACAAAACTTACTGATGGAGATAAGGATGTTTAGAATCTTCAATCTAATTATTTGTTTTCCTCTTTACTAGTGTGTAGCCCGTGCGATGTACGGGTAAATAATATTAAATAAAAATTATAAATTAAAAATGATAGTAAACAATATTAACTCATAATTATAAATTAAATATGAGGGTAAAAAATATTAATTAATAGTCGTAATTAAGATGTGGAGTTCATATGTGACATAATTTATCGTATATCAGATGTAAATAATATAAAATTATCTTGTATAAAATAACATAAAAAATGTATGTTTAAAATATTAAAAATACCTAAAATATTATATATCGTACGTAAAGTATCTAAAATTGTATATATCCTTATTGAAAGATGTGAAGTCACTTAAAATTTTTCTAAACTATTTTATAAATAAAACATGTTAAAATTATTTAAAAAAATCTTGCCTACAATATATTATTCAATTTCCAAAAGATGATGATAAGTATAAGTTAGAATTTTAGAATCCACGTGAGTATTAATTTTTAGATCCGTATACTATACAAATTATTCATTATGTTAATTTTCTCTGAACTTCATATTGATTTATTGATTCTATTTTATTTCCATACAAAGTTGATCGTCTCATTTTGTTTACCATATTTTCGTGGATATTTAACAAAGTTGATTGCATTTATAAAATGATTTGGATATCAACATACAATTTATAATGGAGTTTTCAAAATTGTGTACTATTAACAAATAACATATTATCATTAAATATATTTTTTTAAATGCACAATTATTGAGACTGAGAATTTGAAAATTATTTTACCTTTTGAAACCGAGTATAAAAAAACAATAGATTGGTAAAAAAAAAATAATAAACAATACCAAGTTTACTATCACACGTTCCAAATAAAAAAATTATGTTGATTAGTGAAAAATGATATTTAAAGAATAGCATTCAATATCTTTTTTTTTTTTTTGAAAGGCATAAATATAAAGACCAATATTCTAAAATTTTATTACCTTTTGAATTGAGATTTTATAAATATAGAGACTTAGATTTTAATGTTATTCGGTGTTTTTATGAAAAAAAATAAAAATAAAAAATGCACACTTAATAGATCTTAGCTGGAATTTGTAAATAATAAAATGAATTAAACCCAAAATTAATGCAACATTTAATGTTATACTACCTCCTATTCTTTTTAAATGTCATTTTGGCTTTATTAACTATTAACAAAATAAATGTCATTTTAGATCTTTTGTACATATTTTTCCATTATTACACTCATTTAGCTAATTAATATACTACGTCTTTTCATATTCACTCCTTATTTTTTCCCAAAACATCATTCTCTATCTTCATTAAAGAGGGTTATTATTGGCAAAAAAATATTCTTAGTTACTGTGCAACTTCTTAAAACGACACTTATTATGAATAGGAGGGAGTATGATTTTTTAAAGATAAAAATATAAAATAAAAAAACACTTACTATTTATAGGTTGCATTAAATTCTCTTCTATTTTTTTGCTACTATTTTTATTAAATGGTAATTCTTATTATATATATATATATAGATTATTATTATTATTATTATTATTATTAGTGGGATTCTTGTCTTGTTGGACAAGTTAGTATTGTTAGGATTCTTGTCTAGTTGGACAAGTTAATATTAGGGTTTTAGGAGTCTTATTTAAAGGACTCCTCCTCTTTGATGTTATTTAGTTGATTATTGAAATGAAATAAGATATTAGTGAGTTTTGTGAGTTTTATTGAGAGACTATCTCGTTTATGGTCCCACTCGTACGCTCTCCTGCATCAGTTGGTATCAGAAGTCAACACGATTCACGATGCTGTCGCGACGACAAGATGCTTCAAACGACAGGCGTGTCGCCGCCATCTACAATCTGAGCCGCCGGACCGAGTAGTTTGGCCGCGAGCTCGAGATGATGGGTTGTCAGATTGCAGATCTGTCCGCGGAGATCGGGGACATACGTCTAACTATCTGTACCATGGTTTGGGATAAGCAAACGTACCGTGACGCCGGCAACCGGGGCGTGTGCGGGGGAATTCGCGGAGGATGTGGAGGCCATGGTCCATGCGGGGCGCTCCGCCGAAGATCTCCACAACCACCGTCTGGAGACGAAGACGGCGAGGAGACAGTCTCAGAGGTGAATCACTTCGACGATTTTCCAACCCCGCACGTCGAGGCTGACCCATTCGCTGCATACGGCGGTCGTGACATGCGGCGACAGGGCCCGGTCTTCATGGACGGCGACGATCAACGCGACGACAGAGGCAGACGCGAGGAGGCTGCCTTCGCCAGCGGATATCGTGCCAGCCATGATTGGGGACTTGATCGCGAATATGGTCAATGGGAGGGCGCATTTCGCGTTGACATCCCCGAATTCGATAGTGAGCAAGATGACGGGCCATTGTACGATGGCCCGCCGATTTTCGATGAGGAGCCTCCGGGGCCGGAGGATGAAGCTGGAACTATTGCTATCAAAACTATTGCACTTGATGCGATTTTTGGTGACCGTGTTGGGCAGTATAGAGAATTACACGGGCACGAGTCTAACAAATGTTTGGCATATTTAATCCATGTTTCATACCCCTTGAAGGTGGTATTGCATCTGGATTTAAGAAATTTAAGGCAGAAGAGTTTGATATGCGGTTATATATATTGAAGTAGTTCAATGTTGCAAACTCCAATATCCAGAAAAGGGCAAAGGCTTTAGAAGTATTTGTTTGGGTTGGTCGAATAACTCAAGTTGAGGAGAGGAGAAGTGCCATTCGAGCAACCAAAAGTATTTTGTGGCTAGCCAAGGTAGATCACAGCGTTGTTCAACCTTCATGTTCGACAGGGGAAAACGTTGGGCTATTCCTGTCATGGGGACGTCTCCAACGAGAACGGGTCGGATTCGAGGGCGAATCCTGCTCAACCGGGGAAGAATGATGCGGATAGAATATTATTGTTATTATTATTATTATTATTATTATTATTATTATTATTATTATTATTATTATTATTATTATTATCATTAATATTATTATTATTATTATTATTAGGTATCTTGAAGAATAAGTTAGGAATTAAATTAAATATTAGGAGATCTTGTCTTGTTGGACAAGTTAGGAATAGGGTTTAGGAGTCTTATTTAAAGGAATCCTCATCTATTGTTTTATTCAGTTGATTATGAATAAGAATATGAATTGATTGTGTGTTATAAGCGAGAGAGTATCTCGTTTATTATAGGAGATCTTGTCTTGTTGGACAAGCTAGGAATAGGGTTTAGGAGTCTTATTTAAAGGAATCCTCATCTATTATTTTATTCAGTTGATTATGAATTATTGAATGAAAATATGATTTAATATCGTGTTTAGATGTTCTTGAGATTGCGATCTCATTATCGTCTCACTCGTACGCTTCCCTACATCAGTTGGTATCAACAGTCAGTACGATTCGCGATGCCGCCGGGACAACAAGATGCCGTAGACAATCGACGTGACGCAACCTTCAACGATCGATTTCAACAGATCGACTACCGTTTTCAGCAATTGGACGTGCGTTTCACGAATTGGTTTGCCGATCTTTTGACGGGGATCGAGGATTTGCATTTGACGCTTAACAACGTGATTGTTTCAGAATTGCAAACGGACCGCGACTTGGGCGGTCGCGATGGTTATCGCGGAAGTCGTGGCGGAAGAGGGCCCCGTCAACGTACGCCACCACCGATGCACGGCGAGGACGACGACGAAGAAGAGTTATCGGAGGTCAACCCCTTCAGCTTCCGACAGGCTCAGCAAGACGACGATCGGCGTTAGAAGTCATTGTTCAAAGTCGAAATCCTCGAATTTTCAGAGGCTTTTGTGGATACACGAGGGTCGACCGAATATGAGGGTCTGCCTCGTTTTGATGACGAGGGGTCGACCGAATATACGGGTCCACCTATTTTTGATATCGAGGGATCGACCGATTATGAGGGTCCACCCGTTTTTGATGAGGAGCCATATGTGGCGTCGATGGAGGACGAGTACCATGTGGTTGTAGAATCATTTGTGAGGCCAGAGGTTGTGCCTGGAATGGATGTTTTCAGTGAATTGGAAGATGGATTTTCATGTTCTTTTATTGAACAAGCATATGTGTTTGATAACTCGCATAGTGTGCCCAAAAAGGACAAAGTGAAGAGTTGTTGTCATAGATTTTTTGCTTATGAGAAT